TCAGGCAGAGAAGGACAAATATCATATGTGTGCACGTATAGGAGGATTAGGAGGAACTTAACTGAGGAACAAGGGGGAGAAGAAGGGGAAAATGGTGGGGGAGAGGGAGAGAGGCAAACCATGAGAGACTCTTGAATGCTGACAAAAACTGAGGACTGATGGATGTGGGGGGGAGGGGGGAGGGGCATGGAGGAGGGCACTTGTGGGGATGAGCACTGGGTGTTATGTGGAAACTAATTTGACAATAAACTATTTGTGAAAAAAAAAAAGATTACTTTTTAAAAAAAACTTCCATTGAGTTACTGTTTTCTGTAAATTAGTTTTACACAGAATATATTTTCCCCTAAGCATTGCAGTTTCACGTCTTTATGTGATATGCTTTCATGTGGTAGGGTTCTCAGTGTCCTTTTTGCTTAGGGCAGAAGGAGCAGGCATTTTCTGAGTCTCCCCTATTGCCAATTGCTTCTCCATTTATCTCATTTGATGCTAAAAATAAGCCTGTTCATTTACAGATAAGAGAGCAGATGCTCAGAGAAGCTTAATAACTTGACTAAGGCCATATAGTTTGTAAGACAGATTTTTTTGAATCCAGAGTCTACATTGTTCATAGTAAATTATTTTGTCTCTCCATATTCAAACTCTCAATATGAGACCATGACTTAGTATTGAGTAATAATGGCAGATTCTAGGATGGTATGTGAAATGTGACCCTACTTACATTTCAGAAAAGATGACATATTTATATTATATATGTAAATATATTTATGTAATTAATGTTAACATTATTAATATATATCATTATATATTTAATTGTATATTATATACCAATAATATGTTTGCTAATATACTATTAATATATTATATAACATACATATATATACATACATATTTGGAAAGACAGATAACAGGTGGTTAACCAAAACTGGGATTTGGGAGTTAGGGGTGGGGCTGGGGACACAAGGAGAACACTCTTTCATTTCTAGTTTGTATCTTTCTGTCATGAACTTAAAAAAGGTTATGCATTGTCTTTATGTAAAATATATTATTATTTTGTCGTTAGTACTAAATGGGCTCATTTCTTATTTCGACAACTATAAGCATTCTTGAATACCTATTACTATGCTTATTATTGTCGGCCCATCTACTATATTAAACGTACTCACATCACATACAACTTCTATGGAGTTGAATTTAACAGGATGTCACGTGTCAAACACTTAAAGCTACTAACTTTGATTTTTCAGGTTTTATTTTATTATTTTTTTTAATGTTTTATTTATTTCTGAGAGAGAGAGAGAGAGAGACAGCATGAGCAGGGGAGGATCAGAGAGGGGGGAGACACAGAATCCGAAACAGGCTCCAGGCTCTGAGCTGGCTGTCAGCACAGAGCCCGACACGGGGCTCGAACCCATGAACCGTGAGATCATGACCTGAGCCGAAGTTGGACGATTAACCAACTGAGCTACCCAGGTGCCCCTGATTTTTCAGGTTTTAAAATATTCTTTAACTAAAGCAGCTTTTTTTCAGATCTCCAGCATTTCCCTGGGCCTTATGAATTGTGCTTAAGTGGATAAAAATCACCCTATGTGCTGAGTACTGTTCTAGATACTTCTGGGAAAGTAGTATAAGAAAGGATGTCTACTGTCCAGAAATTTATCATCCAGCTCTACAGCTTTTCTTTCCTTTTCTCAGCCTACACCCCTTTCCCATGTAGTCCTAAAAACTTCTGGCCCATAGTTCGTTTTATTAGTCTGCTTGTTTTGGGCATCTCCTATTCATTTTCTTGCAAACTCTTTAAGTAGAACAAAAAACTATTTTCAGCAAGATAAAATGAAGTACAAAAATAATCATGCTCATGGCACCTGGGTGGCTCAGCCTGTTAAGGTATGACTCTTGATTTTGGCTCAAGTCATGATCTCATGGTTGGTGGCATCAAGCCCCATATCAGGCTCTGTGCTGACAGCATGAAGCATGCTTGGATTCTCTCTCCCTGTCTCTATGCCCTTCCCCTGTGCTCTCTCTCTCAAAATAAACAAATAAACTTTAAAAAATTAATCATGCCCAAATTTTAAGTCAAATAACTAGGTCTAAAGCCAATACCTTCATGTGGCTAGGATACAACCTTATGCCAAATACAAAGAGTATTTGTTCTTAAATTTCTAGTTGACTTTGTAGACACTTTGCCTGATTTCATTCAGGAACACACAGTTTAGTCACCAATTTTTTGAGTGTTTCCTTTGTGTGTTTTTAGGAATGACAGAAAGATACATCAAAATATTCAGTGGTAGGCCCATGTAAAATTGTGAGGAACGAAAGCAAATTGCAAAAACAAAGGTCTGCCTGAAAAGACTTTCAGTGTGTCATTCCTAGCATGTAAATATCTTTTATCCTGTTTGCAGAGTGTTTTGGAAAACAAAGGAGTGGGATGTGAGAAAATCGACATTTATTTCAGACCAGGAAATTCCACTTTCATTGAGAAGAAGATATTTTAAAAGGAAGAAAAAGAGCAGACCATCAAGAGACCCTGAAGACTATGATCAGCAACAGATTGTTGATCAAATGATAACATTTCCCTGTTCCATATGCAAGTGTGAAATTGACCTACATGAAAGTTTCCTCCATAAAAAGCAACACGTGGCTTGGGCCACCCTGGGGTTTCAGTGGATGGGTGGAAAGAAACAAGGACCTTCAGTGATTGCCATTCAGAGGCAGTTCATAATTGCCAAACTATTGTCATCTTCTGTATTCACTGAAAAAATCCTACAGAGCATTAATAATGCTTTGGAGATACTTTGGAAGAAACAAATACCAGCATATTATAAGATTGTTGATAACGTTCATAGGAGTTCCATATATCCTCAAACAATCCATCATCTATTGATTAAAGGTGTTGGGATTTGTGAAGACAGAAATTCTACATGGAGAGCTCACATGAATGATAAATTCACTGTAGTGAATCATTTTGGCAACAAACCCAATATGTGTTTTTTTGGTTTGTTTGATGGACATCATGGCGTCTCAGCAGCAGAGTTGACATCCGTGGAACTCCCAGTTTTACTTCTCCATCAACTTTCCAGATTTGACCCTTCCTACCAAATGACCCCTGAAGAGAAAAACATCATCAAATCCTTTCACACAGTATTTAGAGAAGAATACATAGCTATAGAAGAACTTTTCTCCTCCATAAAGAAAAGGACAAAATCATCAAAATGTGAGTATGAGAACATCCACAAAGCCTTTGCAAAAGCATTTTGGAGAATGGATAGGCTTTTACGTCTTGGAAGAAAAGAAGTATCCAGCGTTCGATGGAGCGGCTGTTCCGCAGTTACTTGTATATTGGAAAGCAACAGCAAAAATCCCTTTGTTAAGAAGAGAATCAGTAAGCGTACTGGTGTGGCAGAGAGTTTCCCTTCCCAGATGACATCACAAATAATTTCTGGAGTATTGCATGTTGCAAACACTGGTATGTACCTTGAGTAGTGCACATTATACCTTACATTTATTTTTTATTCCTGACAGCAAAACTTCTCTTGCTTTCATAAATATTTACTGACCTATGATTTAGTGACTTATTAATGCCTAGAAATTCCATTGGCTAATTTAAGAAATGATCAATAACCACAGTTTAAATGCAGATTGCAGGCACAAAAAATAATTGTAATTTTGGAGGAACATACGTACTAATGTGACCAAAATGTTAAATTTCCTAAATGGGGTAGCAATATAGCTCTTGATAAAGGCAAAGCAAACATATTACAATTGCTTACATCTGAATGAAACAAAAAGCATTTCTTATACTTCCCTTTTTCAGGAGAATGGAAAGTTCTTTGAGGATTGTTGCCTACCAATCTGGTCATTTGAACTGGTTAGTTATTCTGATAACACAATTGCAAAAGGTCAAGTGTACTTATCGGTCAACTAGCATCAATTCTAGAGAAAAATAATAGTTTATGCCTTGATTTTATAGGGATATGTTCTCTTCCCCAAAAGAGAAATTTTATTTCAAGAAATGATTCTTTTGACTTTAAGAGTTCAAGTTCTAGCTTTGGAGCTTGCCCAAATGGAAAGTGCATAAGTTAAACATTTTTAGAAAAGTTAAAAGTTCCATGAGATGCTTGATTAGGTTTCTACTACCCCTTTCACGAACAGAGTTGTGGATTTTTTTTTTTTTTTTAAGTAAATCCTACCCTCAATGTGGGGCTCAGACTCCTGATTCCGAGATCAAGAATCGCATGGGCTACTGAATGAGACAGACAGGTGCCCCTGGATAGAGTTATTTTTAATAATTGTGTCCACTTATTGAATATTGAATATAGCCTAATCTCTAGTCTTACAAGAACCCTAATATCTAAAGATATCCTCTAAGTATTAGTTTTTAAAATGTATTTGACATATGACCTTATGCAAGGTTAAAGTACGTTAATATGATACATTTATATATTATAATATGATTGCTGTTCAGGTGACAATTGGTACCTCTATCATGTTACATAATTACCATTTCTTCTTAGTGGTTGAAACAATTAAGTTCTAGTCTTAGCAAGTTTGATGACTATAATACAGTATCATTCTCTATATTCCCTATACTGTGCATTAGATCGCTGGGACTTATTTATTACTTGCTGCAGGTTTGGACCCTTAAACATCTGTTCTATCTCTACCCTTGCCCCAGTATCTGTTGTTACCCCAATTTTCTATTTTTAAAAATGTTTATTTTACTTTTGAGAGAGAGAGAGAAAAAGAGACATAGCAGGAGTGGGGTAGGGGCAGAGAGAGGGAGATACAGAATCTGAAGCAGGCTCCAGGCTCTGAGCTGTCACACAGAGCTTGATGCAGGGCTCGAACTCACGAACCATGAAATCATGACCTGAGCTGAAGTTGAACACTTAACTGACTGAGCCACCCAGGCGCCCCTACCCTCATATTCCAGATGAGAAGATGGAAGCTGGGAGAGGTGAGATAATTTGTTCAAGGTCTCAGAGGCAATAGGAATTGGAGCTGGAAATTAATCCTGCTATGTCACACTGCATCTGTAGGGGATTGCTTCCAAAGCTTGAGAAGGCTGGCCCTCAGAGAGTGGGACATGGTGATCAAGATGGCTCTGCACAAAAACCAGATAATGACAAAGACCATTCTTATGCCAAGGTCCCTGGAAGTCAGCCTGTTTCTGATCCAGCTCTGGTTCTGAGCCCAAGATGAGTACTCCCATTAAGCAATGCCAAGCGTAATGTCAGTTTCCTCAGAATTTTCGTCATTTCTCAGGTTTTATGCTGAGGTTCCAGATGGTCTACTTCATGTACAGACAGTTCTCAGACTTCAGATCAATCTGGGAACTGACCCATATTCTTGGACTTGGGACCTCTATTAGAAAATGCCATTACACGTCAGGGTTCTTGTAAAATTAAAGGAAGAATTATGAGATAGTGAGTAACTAGATACTATCATCAAATGTCTAATTTACTATGATTCACTACTTCCAGGATCATGGCCGTTTGGCTGGTTCTAACCTCCAGGTCAGACTTTTGTTGGATCTAATCTCCAGGCTTACATAATTGTGTTAAACTGTTTTCATTTGGGCATCCTTCATTTCAATAGAAACAGATAGGTAGGGGGAAAAAAAACACCCAACTTGTGAAAAGGAGGTTGTGATTAATGACAAAAGAATGCTCCTGAAAGAGAGAATTTAAATGGATTACAAAAAATGTTCAAATTTATCAAGAGCATGTTTTGTATTTTATGATTCAAGACCTCTAATTAGAGCAAGGGGAATTTTTTTTTTCTTATTTTAAGTTTGTAAAACACCAGTGTCATCACAACTCTGGAATTAAACAAAAGGAAACAAAAACCTTGCTTTATAATGAAACATGAGTGCAATAATGAATAAAGCCACTGAATAAATGTTGAACGTGTGCATGTGGAAGCAAACACTTCCAAACTGACATTGAGTTTTTATTCTTAGCATATCTCATTTATAGTGCATTTTATAATTTCTCTTGGTGCTCTCGTATTTTACTTCAATTAGTCCTCACAGAATTAAAACACTAACAAATGTATTTACACAGAATACATAATTACACTTTTTCCCTAACATCAAATAAACCACAAATTTTACATTTCTAATTAACCACACTAGTTCCTTATAAACATAAGGGATTCTTATTTGAGTCCTTAATTTCCCCTAATGCTTTTATGTTTAATAACTTTATTGAGATATAATTCACAAAGCATACAATTCACCCACGTACAGTTCCGTGGTTTTTTAGTACATTCCATTTACAGATATGTGCAACCATCGCCACATTCAATTTTCGAAAATTTTTGTTCTCCTACAAAGAAAGCCAGTGCCCTTTGACAATCAGCTCCCTAACCTGCCATTTCTCCAGGTCCAAGCAACTGCTAATCTACATTTTGTCTCCAAACATTTCCCTCTTCTGGGTACTTCATAGGAATGTAATCATGTAACTTGTGTTCTTTTCTATCTACTTTCACATTGCAGGTGTTGAAGGTTCATTCATCCATGTTGTAACATGCGTTAGTACTTCTTTCCTTTTTGTTGCTGAATAATATTTCACTGTATAGTTGTGCCACATGTTTAGCCATTGATCATTTGTGGGTTTTTTTTTAAATTTTATTTATTTATTAAAAAACTTCTTAATGATTCATTTATTTCTGAGCAAGAGAGAGGGGCAGTGTGAGCAAGGGAGGGTCAGAGAGAGAGGGAGACACAATGTGAAGCAGGTTCCAGGCTCTGAGCTAGCTCTCAGCACAGAGCCCGACCTGGGGCTCGAACCCACGAATCATGAGATCATGACCTGAGCTGAACTCGGACGCTTAACCGACTGAGCCACCCAGGCGCCCCAAGCCATTGATCATTTGAAAAACATTTGAGTTGTTTTCACTTTTTGGCTATTATGAACACTGTGGCCATGGACTTCGTGGATAAGTTTTTGTGTGGCCAAGTGTTCACTTGCTTGGGTATATACCCAGGAGTGGAATTGCTGGGTCAAAAATAACTCTACAGTTAACCATTAAAGGAACTGCCACACTGGGTGTTATAAGGAAACCAACTTGACAATAAACTATTTAAAAAGGAAAAAATAAATAAAGGAACTGCCAAACTATTTTCCAAAGTGGCCGCACCATTTCACTATCCTGAGAGTGTTGTATGAGGGTTCTAATTTTTACACATTTTCCCAATGCTGTCTTTCTGATTCTAGCTATCTAAGTGGGTATGAAGTGGTACTTAATTTGCATTTTTCTTTGTTGACTATGTTGAATACCTCTTTATGTGCTTATTAATTATTTCACTATCTTCCTCTGAGAAATGTCTACTCAAATCTTGTGTCCATTTTTGAAATTGGGTTACCTGTCTATTGAGTTGCAAGGTTCTTTTTAATATTCTGTATGTAGAATCAGATATATGATTAGGAAATATTTTAATTCCATGGGTTTTTCTCTTTCTTGTTGTGTTCTGAAGCAAAAACACTCGAATTTCGATAAAATCTGATTTATCAGCTTTTTGTTTCGATGCTTGTACTTTTGGTATCAAATCTATGAGACCATTACCAAATTCAAGGCTCCAGAAATTTACACCAGTGTTTTGTTCTAAGAGATTTATAGTTTTATCTCTTACATTCAGGTCTATGATCCATTTTGATCATGATGAGGGGGGTCCAACTTCATTCCTTTCTATGTGGATACACAGTTGTATATTGTTATCTCTTTTATTACTTTCTTTTGAATTGATTTCTTTATTGCCATCTATCTCCTTTGTTGGGTTCTGAGCTAAAACTCTTTGTTATATTATTTTAGAAGTTTACAGTATACATCTTTAGCTTCTCACAGTCTAACTCAAATATTGTATCATTTTACATATATAATAAAATCCTTACACCAGCATACTTTTATTACTTCCTTCCCAGACTTTATACTATTATATATACACACACATGTAGTTTATGTTTATATGTATAAAATATCTATTTTTTAACTTGTCTCTTTTTATTTTTTTTATTTTATTATTATTATTTTTTAATGTTTTATTTATTTCTAGGAGAGAGAGAGACAGCATGAGCAGGGGAGGGTCAGAGAGAGAGGGAGATGCAGACTCTGAAATAGGCTCCAGGCTCTGAGCCGGCAGTCAGCACAGAACCCGACATGGGGCTCGAACCCACGAACCGTGAGATCATGACCTAAGTGAAAGTCTGACGCTTAACCGACTAAGCCACCCAGCCGCCCCTAAACTTGTCTCTTTTTATACAAGCATTTCTAGGAAGTATTTTGGGTTTGTTTCCAGACCACCACAATAAAGAAAATATTGTGGTAAAGCAAGTCAAAAGAATTTTTTATTTGTTTGTTTCCCAGTGCCCATAAAGAATGATCACACTATACTGTAGTCTATTAAACGTGCAACAATGTTATGCCTAAAAAGCCAAGGTGCATACCTTAGCTAAAAATACTTTA